ACTAGAATTAGAATTCAGCGGCGTTAAGTGTGAGATGTTCTCATCTGTGGACGTGAATGCTGGACAGATTACACACACAAAGCAAACCCGAAGCAACAAAATGTGTTGTTTAAAGAGTAGAACGTGAAACATATGGACAGACAAGATGAGTGACATAAATGTATTAGCGATAGCAACAGGATACAACAACAGCAAAGTGTATGAGAATGATTAGAGAAAGGCAAGTTGGATTTCTTGGACATGTAATGTGAAAACAAATGAGCGATTATAGGAATCTGTTTTGACTGGGAGCATGAGAGGGACCAGAAGCTAAAAAAATAAGTACCGAAGCAATTTGAATAACTGGATGCAACTTGGGATATCTGAGGCAAAGTTCTTCAGTAATATTATGGACAGGGCTAAATGGAAGGAAGACCACCACCTGCGCCACCTTTGATAAAGGACACGGCTCACGGAGAGAGAGATGTACGGAGAGCTTACATCATACATGTTTAATGAACATTGATTGCAAGAAAGCCACGACGTGTTTTATGAACAACAGCAATCATTCATCATGGTTTTTTTCGTTAGTTGCTCTGATGTCTGATACCATCCCTGGCCGTGAAACGTATTTTTTATACAACCGTTTGGTTGGATCGTGTCTAACACAATGACAAATGCATTAAGTAGAAGCCCACACAAAATACTTTGTGGATACCTTGTGTAGTGTATGTACGTGTGAGATGTTGCACGCCTCTTTAATATTATGTGGGCATAAATGGACACGCACATTAATTTGTATATGTGCTTTTTATATGGTACAGTGTCTGTATGCACAATTATTCTTATGACATACATTGCATTCTGAGTACCACAGCATCCTACAACAAAACAATAAAATTGCAGGTTCTCACTACAGTAATCCTTGTTATCAAATCAACATCCCCATGATTTGGAAAATGTATGGGGTTCTACAAGAGACGGTATTGCTCCAAAAATCTTAGTGTCTGTGTAATCATGTCCAGGGGTCAGAAACCTGCAGCTCCAGAGCCGCATGTGGCTCTTTAGGGACTGCTCTGTGACCGTAATTATTAAGGACCACCACCGTCTCGTATTCACATGGCATTGTGGCTCTTGAAATACTGCGTTTTCTACTGAATTCGAATTTTTTAAATATATTTTTGTTAACTTGGTTGCTGACCCCTGACCATCTCAGAATCGGTGTCGTTATTTAGATTGCAGGAGGAATCCGATGAGCTAAGAAGCTCTTTGTTACAGTTGTTCCGTATGAACGGGTCAGCAAGTTTTGTCAAATGGTTTGGGGTGGTATACACGCCAACAAACATCCAGATATAAACAAAACCATCGCGGTGTTGTTATTGTTCTAATAGATACAGTCTCTGAAAATAATCCCCGTTATTTTAGTGTGGTTTGGCTGCTGGAGCAAGCGTTATTGACGAGCACCGCACAACATAGAGCCAGGCCCGCAGCAAACTGCCTTTAGCTCTCAAGAATTGGCATCGCCACACTTCACGGTGTGCTGTGTTTTTGCTCATGTCAGCCTGTATTCGATCGACGCAGGATTACAAATGAAATGTGATCTTCTGTAGGGAGCAACTACTCGTTGTTATCCTGAACAACAGATGGCATCGTGTGCAATATGCTTATTATATAATCATTATATATAATATATATAACTTACACTTGTAACACGCACAGTATTCACTCACTCTCGAAGAGAGAGAACAACTCAAGCAGGAAGATAGCCAGTTAATGAGCAGGTGTCAACGATTGCCCAAGCTCTGCAGTCCTCTGCGGTTGCACCCGATTCAGCGGTTGCACCCGATTCAAGAGCCGAATGGCTCACAGGGCTATACCTAATAAATGAACTTGATATGAAGGTATTACCGGCCAATCAATGATTGTTTACAAGTGGGAATAAACCGGAGCACCCGGAGAAAACCCACGAGTGCGAGGGGGTAATGCTCGATCCCATGCAGACGGAACAGGTGGAGTCCACATTTTTGCCGTACTGCTTTCTCCTGGCGGGCCACGGGTATGGCGCCCCCTCGACCCCCCACAGCAAGAGAGCTTCGCAACATTCAGTGGCGATTCCCCAACCCTCGCTGCCTGCACATGAGCACTGGGTAATGATAGGAGCGCGTTCTTGATCAACTTAACACGTACGTTTTTTTTGCAGCCAGGGTTATGATTCATTCTTTATTTTAAGGTTTACACAATTTGGCCCTAAACCTAAAATCCAACGGTGAATCATGTCATTGACGTTTGCAATCAACTTTTTTTGTTGAAGAACAACAACACAATCTGCAGGAGCGGGACTGAGCCAGGGTACGCCTGCCCAGACCATCCGGCGCTACTCCCCGGTGTGCTGCCGTGGATTTCCTACATTCTAAACCAGAAAAGCCATTCTCCACCTACAGAGTGGCCACGTCATTACATCCCCCATGACCCGCTTGACACACGAAAAATATTGTTGAGGCCGGGCATGAGGGGTGGGCATATCAGAGCTATGGCTCAGGGCGCAAATCTCCGAGTAGCTCCATGGAAAATGCATGAATACAGAGTGCTTTATAGTTTCTACTCGATTTTATAGAGGTGTCATAACGCGTGCATTATAATGGATAACAATTGCACCCATGAGTCACGTTACAGACACAGAGTGACAACTAATAACAAGATTGCAGCCAGACGGTTAGATTTCAAGGCACTAAATAATTTGTTTTATTCAGAGTTCAATTTACATTAATCTGGGTCTGTCATTGATGTATGAGCATTTTTCAGAAAGAGACAACATTCATTTGTCACAGAAAACTTAGTAAAATCCACACAACAGACTATTTCTTCAAGCAGTGACATTCCTAAAATACTGAACATCTGGTGAAAAAAGCTTCAGAGCTCATCAGATTCCTCCAGTCTCAACAAAGGTTCTGACTACTTCAACACACGTGTTCTAGTGGTCCATAAACTTCCCCGTGCCGGCACCAAAGACATCTTCTGGTTGGGTCTGAAGACACAACTGCCACACTCAACCACAGCCTCACTCACCACTGTTGGACTCGCGTCCACATAGACCTTCTACCAGAGTTCCGAAAAGATGGTATTCTAGATCCGGCCTGTATGCTGGATAGTTCCAGCACCTCAAGTCCGAGCTTTCCCAACAATTTAGTTGCTGCATGTGCAGAGTGCGTGTGTGCGTGCATGGGTGGTACGGACAACTTATTTCATCAACAGCCCACAGCGTTCCCGATAAAGAGACAGGCTTGAATTTCGATTTAAAGCTTTCGTGACTGCAGGGATTCATCTTCTTGGTTCTTTCGGTAAAGTTCCTTTTTATATTATTTTATTATTTCCCTTCTACGTGACTTTACCGAAAGAACCAAGAATAGTCAGGCTTCATGTTAGTTTTTTTTGCAAGTCGCAATGTAGAATGCTCGTTACTTAATTTTGACAAGGTAAAAACAAATCTGTCTTCATTTTTGTCGAGTAAAAGGCTGAGATTTGATTGATTTATTTTCCTAGTGGAAGAACTTGTTTGCTTTAATTCAGTAATCTATCAATTATTCTTTGGCTCACAATGATGGATGAACGTTTCATTAGCAGCAATGATGTGATACAAGAATGCATTACCTTCATACCGGAATTTGTCTGAAAACGAACGATAAACGTGAATCTATTTACTTAATGGAAAATGTTTGGCACCCAACAGGCACACATTTTTCATAAAGTCAACTTGTGGATTATTGAACGAAAATCTTCCACACTGATCATTTTGATTGCCAATACATGCTCAATTTTCACTTGACTGTCACCCAGAAATGTACATCTTCACACGAGTGGCATCAGATCTTTGATTGCGTTGACACACCGATTGGAGCGACAATTATATCATCATCATCACAAAATCGCTGACGTTCTGATTGTGGTGGACTACGTGTGTGCAAGCCTTTTTACATTGTTCATGCAGTTGGCACTATATTGCAGCTTAATTTTTTTTTATCAATTTAATCCGCCCTTAAAGGTCTCAGAGGACACAGCTCATGACAGGTCACCGCTATTCACAAGCGTAGTTGTTTACTACCGTATGATCACGAGACACTGGGTCATGGGGCAGTACCTGATTCATGCCCCATTCACTCTGCACTTGTTATTTGTAAAAATAAAAATTTAACAAATATTAATATTCGCTATACTCATACAGATACCCTTATATATATGAGCAGTGCTGAGCCTGGTCCGTGTAGATTGCAGCATGACGTGACGATCGTGACCTCACGATTGCGCAAATAATATTGCTCCCCGGTTTAGCCTTAGACTGTCCTAGCAATCGCTGATAGCGAGCACCTCTTGGGGCCGGTATGACACACGAGGGGATGGTGTGGTCGATGCCGATTGCAAGCGGCCACCCTTGTCTGCCCCAGTGTTCATGTCTACACACTCCAACCATGTAACTACTCATGTATGCCTGAGTAGATCAACGACAAGTCGAGGCCGAGTTCCAATACCAGATGCCACTGCTGCTGGAAAAGAACCCGGGTTGCTAAAGTTATAATGATGTGTGTAAACTACAAGACAAAGCTCCCTGGTATTGCCCACAACATAGGCTCTCGGAGCAAACATTGTTAGTGAGCACCTGTTAATGCTGTAATGGCACACGAGGCAGTGGTCATGGCCAGGACAGTGCTCGGCTGCCTTTGTCTCCCAGGTGCTGATGTTTACACACTGCACCAGGTGCTCGTTTAAGCCCAAGTTGACCAAGGGGAAAGAAAGCCCAGGATAAGTTCAGTTATTTGCCACCGATGTTAGCCGTGGCTGGGAATCCAACTCGGGTAGCCGGGTTTTCACAGCGCAATTCGTTTGGTCCTTTGCCGATTGGCGTTTTGGGTCTGTGCTCAGCGAATGTACACAACAAAGGACACATACACACACATTTGTAGGAAATAAAGATGCATACCCTCATACCCGTAGCAATACACATGCTCACGGAAACTGTAATGTCCTACCTTAGCATGAAGCTTGGCCAGCTGTTTTTCATTCACGAGGGTCTTGTAGATTTTCTTTTTATAGCGAAACTGCAGGAGAGAAAACAATTATGGATAAACACATTTAATTTCCACCAAATTAGATCAGGCACAACATAAGCACAACACGCGTTATATGGTAAGCAGGCAGAACATCTCAGCGCAGAGAAACATTGACCAGACAGGGAGAGGAGTTTAGCAATTCCAAAGAAGCATGCCGCAGCTACATATGTTTACAATGACTGTTTTATATCTATATACTGTATATATATAGAGAAAATCCCCCTTTAAGCCTCATGGTGTGTTTGGACAAGTTCTGTGAGTGCCTATGAAATCTAGACGTGGGGTGTGCTCCACTACACCCAAGCTGCCTTTGTCCTCCCGGTGTCGATGCAGTTCTGCTGATCGCACTGACCCAGGTGCCCCTCTGAGTGTGAAACCAACTTAGGGGTGGCCCAGACCGAAGTCTGGATTACGAAAGCGCTCCCCAGTGCTTTTGCAGAAATGTCCTGGTGCCAGCTCGGACGTTCCGCAACAGTTTGTTGTTGTTGTTTGTTGTTGTTGTTGTTGGCCCAATTCACAATGCAGAATGAGCAGAGCCGAAAGTCTGCACAAATCCCACTGCCGGGATCTGGAGTAAAATGAAAAGGTTCATGTTTCTGCAGGATGGCTTTAATCCGTTGAAAAAAATAAATCGCACGCACGAGCATTTGTTTCAATCTTAAAACAATAAATGGGGTGCTATGACATGGGCTTAATAATTAAAATGGATTAATTCGATATGCATTATGCACACGCACGCACATCTATGTAATATTATTATGCAGTCCAACCTCAGATTAGCACGGTTGGCTACATACGGTGCAAAAGAAGTTCAACATCCATACAGAAAAAAAAGCCACATTATATAACAATGCACTGAATGAATGTTAATCCCACTGTACACAATGAAAATGTCAGTTGAAGTGCATTCAAATCAAGAGAACATTCACACAGGAGTTTAGGCAGCCAACAGAGTCCTGAATGTGTAAGAAGCTCTTGTAATAAAATAATTTAAACCATCGTGGGCAAAATGATAACTTAATTTGCAGGCTGGCCTTAATTTGAAGTAAAAAAAAGAGACTTGCCTTGAGAAAAATAATCCGAGCGGAGACGCTAAACCGCAATTGTTATAAATTTCACTCGGATTTTGGTTCGTGCGAATCCCGTCATGTTTCTATAACCCCTCACGAAACGCTGACGCCAATTTTACATTGATTTGAAGGCTCAACAAATTCCAACGCCTCGCGTGCGAACCACAAGATAATCTTCAAGTGCATTTACCGAATAAACATCAACCGAAAATTAAGAGAGAATTCGTATTTTAGAAAGACAATTGAATCGACATGGCACGGTAACAGCGATGTTTTTTCTCATGAGAAGCAAAGAATATATAGGTGGGATGTTGTGCAGATAATGTAATGCTGCATAGGATAAAATGGATGGAGCGTGTGGGAGTATAGAGAGGAGCATTAGAAGCATCCGTAGGCGTGAGGTGTCTGACGATGGCAGTTGTAATTCTTTGTTTACCCAGGAAAGCCTCAAATGATATTTTAAAGGACAGGCCTGCTTGAGGTGGATATTTAAAGTGACTGCAAGTAGCCTGTCAGAAATCTCCTTGCTGTAGCACCTCCCACGTGCACCTTCTTGAGGTCACCTGATAGCATTGGCCCTGCTCTGTATTCCGAGGCTCAGGCTCAGCAGGAAAGGAGAGCTGTTGGCGTTTTGTGCTCGGGCTCTGCGACTGTGGAACTCTCTGGTCAATCATGTCAGAGGTTCTATGCCCACAGGGACTACTTTTACATGAAGGTTTCAGGCCTCTGTTTATAATTTAGCCTTCTGATTTCATTCTGGCTTCTTACGATTATATTATTGCTTTGTTAATTTTTCCCTCTGCTCGTATAGTTTTTATAACAGCTGTCTTCGTAAATGTTCGGTTTTATCCTAACTTGTGTTTGGTGGTCTTGAATCTTGCGGCATAAAATTAAGAATAATATTGTTATTCTTAGGTGGGTATCTCGAACACATACACGATGGCCACACGGATGCATAATCCAGCAATCTCAGCCCCCACAAGCTGCTCAACTACAGGCATGTGCTGCACCCCCCCTTCCCCATGGCTGCCATCGGCGGAGGATTGAAGTCACGTGGCCTTTATTGCTGTATGGGTTTAGTAGCACAGCAGATTCTGGACCGAATGAAGTTTGTAATTAAAGGATTACAGAGTCGCTAAAGGAGGTACTTTCATAATGAAGGCAACTGTTCAAAGCAAAAACTAAAAGTCACAGTAAATCCCTGATCAAACAAACAATGGCACAGCACCGATTTTAATTGGTGGCTCTCAGCTACTGGCGTAGGACTCCACATTCTTATGACAATGTAGCCACAACCCTCCACAGGATGACCAGTTCTAACACAAAGCACTACTCATGTTTATTATCCATGAAGGGCATGATAGTTTGAGTTGCACCCTTCTGATTGTAAGTTGAGGTACCTGACCACACTGGAAACCAGCCATATGTCAATTCCTGATATAACAAAAAATTGAATTGAGTCCTCTAGAGGTATCTTCGAGTGACAATGCATCGGATCATCAGTGCGCCTTTACTATTGCACAAAAATAGGATATTTATCTTGAACAAAGCAACACGAAGTGAGGTACAGCATGGGAAGGGATTGTGAGCAGGCTCGAAGATGGACGCTTGTGTTGCGCCCGAAACGTCGTGATTTAATTTAGTTATTTTCATTTTCATTTATTTAGTTTTTAACCTACGTGACTTTACCGAAAAAAACAAAAGGTAACGCTCGTGGCCTTCATAGGAACTGTACCGTCACAAGAGAGTTCTCGTGTTGAGCTCAAGAGTATGAAGGCCCTCCTTTTTGTGAACGTATTTATCCACGGAAGCCACACTGAGCTGTAGGACTCTTTATCCGGAGTCTCTTGCATTGGGTTTTTATTTTAAGATTCTTTTTCAGCCAATTAGCGCTGAGTGTTTATACGTCTGGGGGGAAACCCGAGCACCTGGGGAAGACTCACGGACGCGAGGGAGCAACACTATATCCCCGTACAGATGTAAACAGATGGCGATTAGTTAATTTGCTGTGCTGCCCTCTTCTGGCGACCCAGAGTATGGCACCTAAACGCTCACTGGAAGGAAGTTCCACATTTGTCCGATCCACCAAGCCTCACTGCCTCCAGTACAGGTCACGTGCATAGCCACCATTGACCGGTTCGTAACTTTCTATATGAATCCCCTGTGCTCGGGATTGGTTACACTACATATAGATATAAAACAGGCAAAGATCCCCCATATAGCCCATGGAGTATAATAAACACACACGCTCTCAGGGGGAATAATGAGATTTCGATTTAAAGCTTTCGTGACTGCAGGGATTCATCTCCTTGGTTCTTTCGGTAAAGTCACGTAGAAGGGAAGTAATAAAATAATAAAAATAAAACATAATAAAATAATTCTCACGACGTTTCGGCCACAACGCAAGCAGCCGTCCTCAGGTGAAGAACATGTCTGTCGATAAGACAGAGTCTAAATGACACGTCTTAGGCTTGGAGTGTCTATTTAAGCTGTGAGGGAGGAGGAAGAGAGCCTTGACAAAAGAATTTGCATTTGAAGAGGAATTTAGCATATTTATGGGAAATGCAGGAATGCGAATAGTGCTAAGTAATACAGTATGTAATTTAATGTTGGGTTTACTAGTAATACAGTATATAATTTAATGTTGGGTTTACTAGTAATACAGTATATAATTTAATGTTGGGTTTGTCTATGGCAGCATATAGTACGGGGTAAGACCTGTTTGATGTAAGAAAAAAGTTTAGCTGGAAGCATATTATATTTTTTGCGACGTAGAATTGTAATGTATTACTTACTGTTAGTAGCTCAGCTTATTGGAGAGTATATTTAGTATACTGATGAGACTATGAAGTTTATACTTTACTTTTTTTTTACGTGGTTGTTTGGTTGTTGCAGCTGCATACTATTCACATTCCTTCCCTTTGATGCTGCTAATCCTGCATAATGCATGGGCATAATATGACTTTGAAAACCCCCCGCCCACCTCCCACGCATTTCACAATTAGCACTATTCGCATTCCTGCATTTCCCATAAATATGCTAAATTCCTCTTCAAATGCAAATTATTTTGTCAAGGCTCTCTTCCTCCTCCCTCACAGCTTAAATAGACACTCCAAGCCTAAGACGTGTCATTTAGACTCTGTCTTATCGACAGACATGTTCTTCACCTGAGGACGGCTGCTTGCGTTGTGGCCGAAACGTCGTGAGAATTATTTTATTATGTTTTATTTTTATTATTTTATTACTTCCCTTCTACGTGACTTTACCGAAAGAACCAAGAAGAATAATGAGATTGTTTAGAAAGATAGCTTTTGTAATGGTGCCAATTCACTCTTTCAACAATTGCTTGAAATTGCATTTAAGTGATGAGCACAAAAATCAATGGGGCAATGCTAGAAGAAAGAAAATGCCGTCCAAGTAATTGGATTATTATAGATGCAGGAAAAAAAATACATTTTTATAATGGATGTCCGCAAATATTCCAAACATGTATGAATGCGGTATAGATTTGTTATTGGACTGTGGAATGGTAACTGTGCGATTACAATGTGTTTTATGATGGCAATGTGTATTATCCGTGTGTATTTTGAAAACAATATTACCACAGTTGGGGTTTTCATTGGTTTTGTATCGAGCGCTATCACGGTGGACTCGACGCAGAGATTTAATTCTAAAGTTACTGCCGTTCTCATAGAAAATTGTTCGCCTTTTACGTGCGAATCGATCGTCTTCGCAGAGGCTTTTGGCCATCGAGCAGGGACGGTCACCGCAACGCGCGCTTTCAAATGCGCTTCTGCGGCCATCTAGAACGCTTTTCCTTCCGATATTCTGAAGCAACTGGACCTATGCACTTTTAAAATCTAGATTGAAAGCGCATCACTTGAGAACTGTTTTTGTGTTTCGTTTGGTGTCCTTCCT